AAAATCCACTTTACTGGAAAGTCAAAACCTCAGCCTACAGCCCTACACTCTTCTCACGCTACATCCACATAATGAACTTACGTCTGGTTGAGCAACACGTCACTCTGGTTAATTAATTGACTCAAATAAAATACTGTTTGATAATTTTTCTGGGATTTTCATAATAATGTCAGTGTGACAGAAAATTCAGAAATTCAACTTCCAGTACCATTGATTTGTTTATTTTATTTATAAAAATTGGTGTGGTTTTCGTCTGGGACTGGAATTGGAAGCCCTGACAATTGTGAGAGGTGACAATAATTAGGTATGCTACCTGTAAAAGGTGTGGAATAGATTAAGCAGATTTCTATTGGGATAGTAATCCAACACATGGCCAAAAGTTACATGGGAGCAGAGTAGTACCATCACCTTCAAGCTTTCAGTAATAGGAACAGAGCAGTACCATCACCTTCAAGCTTTCAGTAATAGGAACAGAGCAGTACCATCACCTTCAAGCTTTCAGTGATAGGAGCAGTTCTATACGGACAATGCTGCAACTTAATTTATAACTTGCTTTACACATGTTACAATATTAAACGTACCCATGAATGTTAGTGTCGTGCACGATGTCGTACATATATGGAGTTCATGACTAAACAAAGTAGCCTTGGTCTATATGAGTTATGATTTCGGTCTATTACTAACTACTTCCTTATTAATTTCATATGGATGGTGTAGAGTAATCTTCTTTTCTAATAAAAAATTATAGGATTAATTTTTTTTTTTTTTTAACTTGAGTGTTCAGACTAACTTGTGCGTACCTCAGTTAATTATCGGGATCTATTGAACATCTTACAAACCTAAAAGATTAAGTAAGTCATAATGTTATTATGGTAAGTGATCCTAAGGTTTGAATACAAAAACTTAAGACAGTTGACAAATCTGACTGTCAGACCAACCCCTTGAGGTTTATAAGATTAATTTTATTCGTCTTTAAGAGATAGTTAAGTCTAAGTGCCTAATAATTTTAAAAAAATATTAGGTATCTCATGGAAATTATTAAAAACTCCCAATTTTTTTTATAAAATTCTCTAAAAACATCAAAACCCCTAACAAATATAAAAGAAAAAAAAAGGGATCATTAATGGTTTTTATACTTTCTAAAAATAGCTACAACACTTGAGATTTAACTATCGTCTAGGTAGAGATGCAAACGAATCGAGTCGAGCCAAACAGTGTTGGGCTCGAGCTCAATTCATTATAAAAAATCCGAGCTTTGGAAATCCAAGCTCGAGCTCGAGCTTAGTTAGAGCTCGATTCGTTTACGAGTCAAGCCTTATTCAAGCTCCAATACTCAGTCAAACCCAAAACTTGAATCCCAAACTATCCAAATTGGAAAAACAAATAGCCACAAAATGAAATTTATTCAGCAAAAAAAAAAACATATGAATTTTCAATCATTAAGATTGATCCCACCAAGATTGACTCCACCACAATCAAACATCAATATTGCAGGTGAAATCAACATTAATCAGCAGGAGAGAAAAAGAGAGACCCATAAGTTGATTACAACTTACATTCAACAACAACATCATTTCATAAAAGTAAACCTAATTATGCCGGGGAGTACTCTTCTTTCAACAAATTTTCTACACATGCACAACAATGGAAGGCTTTTATTTCTTTTGATCTTTCTTTCCCCTTTTCTCTATGGCTGGCACCTCATAGCCATAGGGAATGAGTTTTACAATTGCCTTCCAACAAGTTCAGCAAGAACTTCGCGATTGGCGGACCTCGTAGTGGGACTTCGGCGTGGCGTGGCTATTTGGTACTGGACTCAACTGGCAAAGAGCAAAAGAGTAATTAGAAATTAAAATTGGGACTTAGGGTAAAAGAACGCTCAACTTCTTTTGATTTACATGAGCTCTATAAGCTCGCGAGCTTATGAGTCAAGTACCTACAAGCTCAATACTTAACTCGTTAAAACTTTGAATTGCTCGAGTTCGAGTTTGGCTAGACAATTTCAAACTGAGCCCGAGTAGCTTGTGAGATACTCGGCTATGCTTCTCGAGTTGAATGAAATAAACTCACAAAGAATTAGTTAAACTAAAAATTATTGTAAGTGTTCGAGCGAATTATTCACTAACCTTCTTAATTATATAAGAAACATTATACATAAATCAGTTTTTTTAATCAATAGTGCAAATTATAAAGCTTCTTTCAAGTATTAATTTTATGTTATCTAAAAATGAATTACACAAGTAGAAAATAATCACATCTGTTATGCCTAAAAAATTAGGGCTGATGTAGACTCACGTAAGCAAGGATTAATCAGAGTTCAGGAATACATTGTGTCGTCTAGGTGTTGTCACGTCGTCAAAAGACAAAAAGAGTAAGGTTGTCATCAACTTGGCAAGTAAGGGTATGGCTAGTGAATGGTTGGGAGTAATCCACTTGCCCGATCCCTGCGTGATTTAAGGATACCTACCGCACAGCCAGCCAATAGGAAGCAACGTAAGAACTGTACGGTACTTGCCCATTGAAAGACCCGTAATCATTGCCCAAGAACCTCTTACTATAAATAGAGAATTCCCCTCTCTCCATCCAAATTCGACTTTCTGATAATATAAACACTCTCTCTCCCTTTTTGTATTTATTTTCTAATCGCTACTTGCTACCTGATTGTAACATTTCTTCTATAAAAAGACAGTAGACATAGGATTCGTTTTGAACATCAAAACCACTTTAAAAATCTTCTTCCTTTATTTATTTATTTTCATTCTCAATTCACATGTAATTTTTAGGTCTGTTTAACTCTTTATACGTGTAAATAGTTAATGTCAAAATCCAGTATCAATAACATCAATTTTAAATATCGCCCATTATCTGATAAAAGTAGTTGGAGGAACATGTTCGTTGAATAGATACTTGTTCAAAAAATAGTGGACAGCTTCAGTTTAAAAAAAAGAAAAAGAAAAAAGGAAAATATTAAATTGATTGAATTTAAATTACAGGTTGTCCCGTGAAAGAGCCACGGCTCTGAACATGATCAGTAGGACCACTCAAACTTGCCAACAGTACAGAATTAAAGCCTTGGCTAAGGCCCTCGCAACTGTTTAGTAAATTACTAAACTTTCCTTCCCAATCTCCAGTAATAACGAGAATGCCAGTCCGCGTGCCGACCCGGCTTGACCATCTTTGCAAATTTAATTTCTAGAATTATAGAATAAAAAAGTAAGAAACTTCTGCAATTAAGTCAGGGATGGTTCTAGGAAGGTTATTACCGATGGGTCAATCACCAAAATAGACAAAAATTTGTTTACCCGCCTACCTTTATATTTCTAAATATGCACGTTCCTTTCATTCTTTTTATCTTCGATTAATATTTTAATATATGCTTTTTAAAAGTTAATTAATATTTAATAAGTGCAGCACATTTCATTCGTGATCCAAAAACAATTTTCTTCTCTGAATGTTCCAGTTACATTACTTTTATATTTTATATTTTTTGTCCTTTTTCCAAAAAGATTAATGCCATTTTTTTAATTTTTAATCTCTCTACAGGTTATTTAAATAAAATTACGAAAGAGTTCTCATGTCCATTTTAGATTTTGAAAATTATTTTCGAATCATGAATTTTAGCCCATAATCAAAACAAATAAAAACAAAATATATTATTACAAAAAAAAAAAAAAAAAAAAGTTCTTGATAATGCAAGCATGCCAAAAATAACATCAATGAATCACAAACTTTTTAAAGTTGTAATACAATTTATAAATCTTGAACATGATTTGATTTTGGTACCACCATACCAAAAATTCTTTTATCATTATTTTTCTCAATGTCTTGTTTCAAATAATGGCACTAGATATAAATAGGCAAGAATCGTAATTAATTTAAAAACACATGGCAAAAGGAATTGAGTGACAATTGACAAATAGTGTTTTATTTGGGATTGATCACTGATTACATAAGTTGATAATTAAAATATGTATATAATATAGTTGAGCTACCATTCCTTTAATCTATTTTGACTAAATCATATTATTGTCAAACTTCACATTATCTATATTCTAGTAGTCTCTTTCTTTGATTGTATTTGAAAAAAAGATGAATTCGTGAAGACTGAAAAACAAATTTGTCTACCTACTTTCAATTAACTTGCATATTAAAAGTTTTCTTCTACAACTCAAAAACCGACAATAATGTCTTCTCCTGTTTACATTTCATTTTTTAGGCCATTCCCCTTGTGTTATAAGTTTGTTTCGTTGACCTTGTGATTTTTCATTCGTAACCTCAAAAATAAAATTGGAGAAAAATACATGAAATGCATTGTCAATTTGAGAGCCTTTTTTTAAAAAAATGAAAAAAAAAAAAAAACCCTTTAAAAGATATGCACATACAATATACAATAATATTTAGATTCATAGAATCATAAATGACTTATTGGTATAAATATTGTTATTTGTTAAAAGAATATATTTTTTTTATTTGTTAATAGCATCTAATTGATGGGCAAAAGTGTAAATACTCATTAATATTTAATAGTAGACTGTAGACATAATAATTACAATGATGGGTGTATGGTGTATACCAATCCTGTACATTATTTGAAAATCAAACTACAACGTAATGATAACGATACATCTTCTAATGGATATATAGAGATTTATTGAGCTAAGTACAGTTTAATAAAATCATAATATATGATTTATTGGTAACACGTTAGAGGAATAAGAATTGATCTAGAAATTTTCCGCCCCGCAGTCCCAACAATTTTTGTTAGCAAATAATGGTGCGGAGGCGCTGAAGTCAAAGTAAATAGAAAAGAAAATATAAAATAATTTAACAAGAGAGGGCAAATACGTAAATAAGAGAGACCATAGTTTGGAAATGGAAATTTAAACGGGAGGCGGGAGGTATAGGTGGACACTATAAATAGGGATCTCTGCCTCTCTGGAAGCCAGAAACCCACAGAACCGCTGGCCCTAAATCTTCTCTCTTCTCTCACACTCACTCTCTCTAGTTTTTTTCGATTTTTCCGTTTTGTGAAAATTTAAACTATTCTTTAAAAAAAAAAAAAATTTAAGAAAAAGCATTCTACTTTAGAGGGAAAATAAAGCCAAATATAGAGATCGCAAACCCTAGAAGTGAGAAGGAACAGGCTTAGCAGATCCAAAATGAGGCAATGGCGTCTTCTTTGTTGATTAGTTTTACGACGTTCGGATAATTTCTTCTTGTTTCTTTTCGTCATTTATTTGTATCTCGCTGGTTAAGGTAAGGTCCTGGAGTGTTTGTTTCATTTTCTCCTCTGATCTGTATGTTTTGATCGAAAATATTAGCTCTCCATTTGGTTGCTCGGAAATGGAATTTGCATGTGTTTGTTTTATTGTCTTTTCAAGACGTTGAGAGATCTAAGTTTTCAACTTCTGGAAAAATACAAGTTTTTAATCAAATATTTCGGCGACCAAACGCAGCTTTGGATTTTTTTTATTTGTTTTGGTTCTTTCTTGATTGCAATTGTAATGCGGATATTGCATCATTAAGTCGATGATGGTTACTAATATCCGTGAACTAAAATATTATGTGATTTCTCGTCTGGTATTTGTTGTTTTGAGGTTAGATCTGCTCTGACCAATAATCCTTTTTTCATTTTTTTGAGTTTACGTGTTTGGTTTAGATATATTAATCATTTATTGATTTTATATAGCGTAAGTTAGGGTGAGGTTACTTTAGAAAAGGAGTTAATTTGTCTTTTAGAATGTTCGCTCATTTCTCGTGGCTGTGTTTTCGTGATCAGGAAATTAACTCCCGTGTGGAAATTGTTGGAGCGTCGATGTCTATAGATGAAGCTTTATGTTTTTTTTTTATCTTCTTTGTTAAGCAAATGCTAATCATTTTGGAAAAAAAAGTACTTTTTCGAGATAAAAATGTTAAAATTTTGGCTTTTTTATTTATATTTTTTTTTTTATCTCGCAATTAGGATTGAAATCAGAAAGCTAATGTCTTATTTTTGCGGTTCATGCAAATTGTTCCATTTGTTTTTTCTGGGAGATTCTTTAAAAGGAGTTGTGATGACAGCCAAACCTTTGTCTTTGTGATGTCAAACATAGACAAAACCTCATGGAGTGTCCGTATTTTTGCATGCTCAAAATTTATGGAAAGAAATGGGAATTTTCTATTGTTGTGATTATGGGCTTTTCTAACTGCTTCAGTTGTGGATTGATTGGTAGATAATTTGTAGTACCTTGTTCACATGTGATGTGTTCTTATATAGTTTTTTCTATATCTGGATACAGTACACTGTAGGTGGTTCTCTATACATTTTCAAGATGGCTTCTACTGCCGCTACTGCTGCTTTTTTTCCAGTTTCTTCTCCATCCATGGACTCTGTTGCAAAGACCAAAAATATTGGATCTGCTAGTTTGGGAGGTATCAAATCGAAATCCTCTTCGCGGGGTTTGCAGGTCAAGGCTAGTGCCCAAGCCCCTTCCAAAATAAATGGTACTTCAGTAGGTTTGACAAAACCAGTGGAAGGCCTGAAGAATGAGGATGATATGCCTTCACCTCCCCCAAGAACTTTTATTAACCAATTACCCGACTGGAGCATGCTTCTTGCTGCCATAACAACCATATTCTTGGCGGCAGAGAAACAGTGGATGATGCTTGATTGGAAACCAAGGAGGTCTGATATGCTTATTGATCCATTTGGAATTGGGAGAATTGTTCAGGATGGTCTCATGTTCCGACAAAATTTTTCTATTAGATCCTATGAGATAGGTGCTGATCGCACTGCGTCTATAGAGACATTGATGAATCATTTACAGGTACTTTAAATATTTGATTTTGTTTTTTTTTTCTTTGAGATGCAACAGCATCTTGGATGTGTTGAAAGCCAAAAGTACTTCGCATGGTTTGTTGCTTGCTAAGTGGTTACATTTTACGCGTTCAGTTGCGTAATATTTTTTGTATTTACATTTGTGGCAGGAAACAGCCCTTAATCATGTTAAGACTGCTGGTCTTCTTGGTGATGGCTTCGGTTCAACCCCAGAGATGTGCAAAAAGAACCTGATATGGGTGGTTACTCGAATGCAGGTTGTTGTAGATCGCTATCCTACCTGGTAAGTTGCACATAGTTTGACCTTCTGGTGGCAATTTGGTTTGAGCGGATAATTTTATCCCCTTTTGTTTTTTATTGATCAAGATGATGATGCGATGATGGTCCACTGCATGAAATTTATGAGAGTTACTTTGTGGCTAAGATTTGGCTTGGTTTATTTAGGTTTTTCAGTTAATTTCTCCTGGGATGATGTAGAATTGAGCCATGGACTTAGATCTAAAGGTTAATTCTTTTTACATTTGGCTGCCACGAATCGGTGCTGCCATTCAATGAAGAAAATAAACTAGCTCAGGATCCTGCGCCTTCCTCCCTAACCCAAGGGAGATAAAGACGGAGAAAAGAGACAGAATTATTACTTTATTTTTGAAAATGGAAGAAAATTACCCAAAAGGAAGGAGGGAGAGAATGAGAAAGCTATTAATGTTGGACGATATATTTGACGTAGGATAGTTGATGATTGTGTGTTTGAGTTTCGTGGTACATTGTGACATATGGGACATTATGAATTTATGGGGTTATTCATTGTAAATGCGTTAGTTATATTGTGAAAACTGGTTTTTGAGGAGCTTAATCTCTCAATCCAACCACACCCAAACCCCCCGCAACCCCCCAAACCCATCTCTTCTCTTTTTAGGAACCATTTTTTTGTTAAAAAAAAATTTGGGGTGCTTTGATTTTTAGGATATACAATTTTATTGTTTATTCTTATTTGTTTTGGTATTGTCTTGTATACATCAGTGAAGATTGATAGATTGGTTTATGTCTGTCTTACAGGGGTGATGTTGTTGAGGTAGATACTTGGGTTAGTGCATCTGGAAAGAATGGTATGCGACGTGATTGGCTTGTCCGTGATTGTAAAACAGGGGAAACTTTAACAAGGGCCTCCAGGTAGGGAACTTCTGTTAAAAAATAATTTTAGCACTTTATTTTGGTGTTCTGTAATTGTTACCATCTATGCTTTTTGCTGGTTACTGAAACTATATGCTTCTTCTAAAATTTGTTGCATAGTTGTTGGTTTCGTTGTGTGTGTGTGTGTGTGTGTGTGTGTGTGTGTGTGTGTGTGTGTATGTGCTTTTGGGACAAACAAATAATAATTTCTTTATATTTATAATAGTGTTAGCTTTAGGATGTGTAAGTCAAAAATTTTGCATCTCAACAAGTAACTGCGGTTTATTTATTATTTTGATTGGACATTGATTATATTAGTTGCTGGTATTATTGGAACTGTTTTGTGATTTTATGCTTTTGATGCTTGCAGTGTGTGGGTGATGATGAATAAAAAGACTAGGAGATTATCCAAACTTCCAGACGAAGTCAGAGGGGAAATTGAGCCTTATTTTGTGAACTCTGATGCTGTTGTGGATGAGGATAGTAGGAAATTACCAAAACTTGACGACAACACAGCTGATTATGTTCGCAGAGGTTTAAGTGTAAGTCAATGATTTTAATAACAATGGTTATTGGCTTTTTGATTTATAATGATTGTCTTGAATCTTGATTCTTAGTTGTTGCTTTCTTGTGTGACATTTTCATTCTTTCCCAAAGTGCAGCCTAGATGGAGTGATTTAGATGTCAACCAGCATGTTAACAATGTGAAGTACATTGGCTGGATCCTTGAGGTAGATATTTCTATTTTTTTTCATTGTGCAGATTTCAGTATTGTAACAACATATTCCTGATTCTTGTTTGGATATGCTTTGCTTAGTAGCTTTAGTTTGTATGCCATGATGCTTACTAAATATGGAGATGGTCAGCGTGATTAAAATTCCTAATTCTAAGAGCAAGTTGGACTTTCTGCAACCAGAACCAATCATAATCTAGCATTAGTTCAATCAGGAAAGCTTAAATTACCAAAAAGCGTGGTGATCTAGTCAGGTGGTTACCCTTTGTTTTTGCTTATTTTTTAGAATATTTAAGATCAGATATTTTTATGGCAGAATAATTAACAAATGGAAGACCATATCTGTTTAAGTGGATATTGTTAACTTCTCTTGTAGTGCATACATAGTAATAGGTTTGTAATGATTGAAGACAAACAAATTTTTAATTTGTGCTCAAACTTCCGGCAAAAGCTCTGAATATAGAAAACTTTGACCTGTGACATGGAATTTTGTAGCACCAGCTCGGTTCCTCTTTCGCGAGGCTTTTTATTGTGTTGTCACATGGCTGGTAATTGACCAAAAGTCTAAATTAAATTCTAGGAAACGGAATTTGTAGTATTCTTGCTTGGTTCTTTTGATGCCAGGGGAATGAATTCTTCTGTGCTTAACAGAATTCTGTAATTATTTTACTGTATATATGTGACTGCTGCATTTCTTTTCATTTTAAATGTTACACATGCCTCCTGAACTAGAATATATATACTGCTTCTTGTTGCAGAGTGCTCCACAGGCAATCTTGGAGAGTCATGAGCTTGCATCCATGACTCTGGAGTATCGGAGGGAGTGTGGGAAGGACAGTGTGCTGCAGTCCCTTACTGCTGTCTCTGGCTCTGATGTTGGCAATTTGGGCCACTTTGGCAGTGCTGAGTGCCAGCACATGCTACGACTTGAGGATGGGGCTGAAATAGTGAGAGGAAGGACTGAGTGGAGGCCTAAATATGCAAACAACTTTGGGAATGTGGGTGAGGTTCCGCCAGCAAGTGCATAAAACTTTTATCTTTGTGGCTAGGAGGCAGTAGTCGCATTGGTTGTGTAGAATCCTGCTTGTGTTCTTGGATGATTTATATGCTTCTTTATATATAATTCCTTATTTGTCATACTTTAAGAAAAGCTGTAAGTTCGATGTAATTAGCCTTGCTGTGATCTCTTTGTTGCTCTCGACCCAACCAATTCAATTTGCTCTCTTCCCAGGATGCAATGCAAAAGATGGATGAGTTGTATAGGGGAAAATTTTAGGTTCTCTTATGGTTACCTAACCTGTTGAGTTGGTGGATGTTAAAAGCCTTCTGTTTCCTGCCTGGAATATCCAGGCACATGATCTTTGATTGACATGATAATGTATATTTTTGTGGCTTTTCTTTTTCTGGTTAGATTGGAGAAAAGTTAGGCTAGTGGATTTGTGCTTCATATTTAGCTGTAAGCGTATGCAATAATTGTTTAATTGATTGATTCTTATTATTTTTTTCGCACTTTTTCATTCAATCAGCCAGCTTGTATACCTACCTCTTGTACGTTAAGCTGCGGGTAATCAAACGATAGATAATGTGTGCTGTCATGGGCCACAGTTTTTAAATTTCCATCGGCAACATTAAATACCAAAATTCATTGCCAAGTTATTTGATTTATGTTGATAAGCTTCATGATTTTGTGTTGATGAATACAAAGAAAGATATAGGATGTGTTTGTTATACAAACTTTTCTTTACTTCACAACAAAAACTCTCAGATTTTAAACGAGTCTCAACTCTCAGCAACACGATATAATATATTATGTTAATTATTGAACAAGAATATGATCATTTTTTCAAATGTCAACATATGTTTATATGAATGTTAAATCAACTTGTGTTTGGCTAAAAATTATTTCCCAAACAAAAAACTTTATTCAAAAATTCTTCGGCATTATAGATGAAAACTCAAAAGCATTGTGTAGTGGTAATGTAATTGTTCACCAACTTCAAGTGCAGTCCCTTTATCCGTCATTTTCTTCAATATTAATGTGGCCGAATTTACAGATCAATGATATGATATATGTAAATGAAAAACCATTCTATTTAGAATTCAATTCAATTCAGTATTAGTCGATTTCTATCTTCCTTTTGTTCATTATTCTAATTTATTTTAAGTAGATTATAAAATGATGTTCGAGTCGACTTTGATATCAACCAACACATCAAACCACTTTGATGGATTAATTAAATGGGATTTGATTGAGCAACCTGAACTGTGATGTGATCAATCATACTATACACAAACCCTACCCCACTCAATACCCATCTCTTTAGTTAATTCACTCTTACTATTTTTTCTATTAACCAATACCATAAATCCTTTCTTCATAGTTATAATTAAAATTAATTTTAATTTATGTAACAACTTATATATAATATAAGAAGATAATCCTGAAGGGCGGACGTGGACCATGGTATCAAAGTCACGTCACTAAAAAGATTAATAACTGGTGTCGTGGGTCTTATTAACATGATAAAATTCGTGATAGTCGTATCATAGGATACGCTTTTTTTCAATTAATAAAATAATAAAAATTTTCTAAAAATTAATATCATTTTCAAGATAATTAAAAAATTTAAGGATTATTCGCTTTAAATTATGATATTACATAATCAAAATTAATCACAAAATAAGAATCTATTTATTTCTCTCAACTATTTATATCATTTCCAAGATCAATGTGAGTATCTATACCTCTACTTATATTATTATTATCATAAAAAATAGGTAACATTTGTTCCTCTTCACTTTTTTCATGCAAAATGAGTAAATTTAGATGATTTTAGTGAATCGGATTGGGGAACCCGATTCTAACCGAAAATTGTTAATAATAAGTCTTATCGATTTTTATTGATATTTTTAAGGGTACGAACGGATACGTATCGTATTATAGGATACATATCAACGTATCGAAAATTTTTTAATATCTCTCTGATACGTACGTTGGTGACCTGTATCGAATCGTATAAACATATCGGGTATCATAGGGACTAAACAAGGTTGTAATTCCTACGATACCCGATACGATCATACGATACGATTCGATACAGGTCGCTAACGATACGTATTAGAGGGTGTATCTAAACCATTCGATACGTTGATATGATCCTACGATACGATACGTATCGTTCGTATCCTTAAAAAATCGATATAAATGGATACGATTATTTATTATTTTTTTGAAAAAGACGTATCTTACGATACTCGATACCGATACACGATTCAAAAAATTAGGTTTTCAATACACGATACGATACACGATTTGATAACCATGATACTAACAACCATGGTTTTGATAGCATGAATATTAGTATTCTATGATACGCAATATGTATCTTATGATACAATTCGATACGGGTCGCCAACGTACGTATCAAATAATATATTCTAAACCTTTTGATACATTGATATGTATCTTACGATACAATGCGTACTTAAAAATAACGATATAAATCGAAACGACTTTATTATTTGGGCCAAAAGCCCAAAAAAAATTCAAGTAGATTGGGGTCACCCAACCTGGTTTACTAAAACCTACCAAATTACCTATTTTGCATAGAGAAAGTGAAAAAGAATATGTGTTGCCATTTTTATGATAATAATAATAATACAAGTGGAGATTTAGATATTGATTGATCTTGAAAATATATTAATGATCGAGATAAAATGATATAAATTCTAATTTTGTGATTAATTTTGATTAATACTATCATAATTGAAGCCAATAATACCACAAATTCTTAATTAATTGAATACGTGTTAAACTGACCTAGACTCCCATGATAAAAAGGAAAAAACAAATCTCAACACAAATAATACCAATCTCTTTATGTTAATTCACTCTCACTATTTTCTATTATCCAATACCATAAGAATAAGTCTATCCTTACAAACTCACAGATTAATCCTTTCTTCATAGATCCTTTCTTTGTACCATAAATCCTTTCTTCATAGATTTAATTAAATTAATTTTAATTTATGTAACAACTTATATCTGGAGAGGTGGACGTGGACCATGGTATTCAAACTCACATCACCAAAAAAATGGGGTGCGTCATATCAACATGATAAAATTCGTAATAATATAAACTATCATTTAAGATATCTTGTATGTTTTCGTAACATAATTATTAGAATCCATGATACGCGATATATATCCTATAATACGATTTGATATAGGTCACCAAAGATATATATCAGAAAATATCTTAAACCTTCGATATATTGATATGTATCATATGATATAATAAGTATCTATGTTATCCTTAAAATATTGATACAAATCGATACGATTTTATTAATTTAGGTCAAAGACCTAAAAAAATCTCGGATATGATATGGGGCACCCAATCGGTTCACTAAAAACCTGTCCAAATTACCTATTTTACATAGAGGAAAGTGAAAGAAATATGTGTTGTCTATTTGCATGGTAATAATAATACAAGTGGTAGATATATATATTGACACATGATCTTGAAATAATATTAATGATTAAGAGAAAATGATATAGATTCTTAATTTTGATTAGTAATACCATAATTTAAAGCCAATAATATCACAAAATCTTAATTAGTTTAATGCGTGTAAACTGACCTAGACTTTGATAATAAAAAAAAAAAAAAATCTCAACACACATTAATATGAGTGTGCTTGTCTATTTGTCAATGGGAATGGCCATTAATCTCAGCTTAGTTTAATTCCAATCATGGTTATTAGTATCCTATGATACGATTTGATACAGGTCGCTAACGATACATATCAGAGAATTTATCCTAAATATTTCGATAAGTTGATATGTATCCTACGATATGAACATACCATTCATTCCTTAAAATATCGATACAAATCGAATGTTATTAATTTGGGCCAAAGGCCCAAACAATTCAGGTCGGATCTGAGTCATCAAACTCAGTTCACTAAAACCTGTCCAAATTTATCAATTTGCATGAAGAAAATGAAGATAAACATATGTACCTATTTTGCTGATAATAATAATACAAGTGGAGATATGATATGATATTGTATTGAAAATGATATGAATAGTTGGAGAGGAAATTATAGATTCTAAATTTATGATTAATTTTGATTACCTAATACCATAATTAAAGTCAATAATACTATAAATTTTTTTAATTAATCTTATAGTGATTTTAATTTTTAGAAAAATTTTATTATTTTATAATTTTTGAAAAAATTGTATCCTACCTATGATACAATACGTAGATACATGATTCGAAAATGTTTTTGGCATATGATACGATAGTGATTTGACAACCATAATTGATAGGACAAGCCAAGACAGCTAGTCTTAGGTTTTACAGGCAGTTTCATTAATGGCCAATGGTGTTTTTCATATCTAGCTATTAACTCTTGTTGGTTGAGTTATTTCAAATTCCTCATAAAGAAGATGGAGAAACTGTCAATATAAACCCCAATACATCTTAATAATGTCAGAATTTACTTTGCCACTTCCTTTATACTTTGGCTTTGATTTTTCTCTATTACAACTGAGTCGTACTTTGTTTTAATTCATTCAATTGGATATAAAAGTAGTTTAGGTAAAGGATTCTGCATATTGTGGTGGGTTAGATGGCTGGAACTCCTGAGTTAGCATGCATTAACAAATAAACAATAGTGTAATGGAGAGATTAACGCACGTTGAGGTTGTGCGCCGCCAAGCTAGGTGTTTGGTTGCAACGGTGGTGGCGGTGGTGAAAAGGTTGATTTGTTGTGGAGGGAGTAATGAAGTTGAAGGTTACCATTTTTTCGGCAAGAAAAATGGACCATATATGTTAACGTATTGTAGTTGAACAAACTCTAAACCCTAACCAATTTAGCCTCTAAAACACGAGATCTCCACTATCAATGAGAATTACAAATTTAGTGTGTGCATCACATTTTGCTTTCAAATTAACACCCCACACCCCACATCACCACAGGCCATCAATATAACCCATAACCAGCTCCTAGGGTATTTCATATTTGAATGAACCGAACCTATTTTTTGGTACAAATAATTAAATGTACCCACGATGACTGTGCATGGTGAGCCCTGTATGAAAATGAAAACGAATCAGCTACCACTAAAACTATTCTCTTGTCGGAAATGAATCATAGGTTAATTTTTTATGCTACCCGACAGGTAACATAACCAAATCCGTCAAGAAATTCGATACACCAATCTTTGGCAAATTATTGATGCAAGCCCTTTAGACTTAATGTGTTAATTTTTGGTTGGTTGGTTGGTGGTGGTCATTTCAGGCCAATTGACCTAAGCTTTTTGCAAATCTTCTTTCTGACGTACACAAGCTGAGGTTAATGTTTCACTATCAGTTTAATATGGTGAGTAAAAGATAACTTAAAGATGTACACATTTTAGATGGGATGAAAATGTATTGTAATTAAAGATAATAATTATAAGGTGTGAAATACTGGAATGAGGGAAAAGTCCACC